TACAGAAACAAATGTGTCCTTCTGTGCAGGCTTCCACTCTAACCAAAAACAGGCTAGAAACTGTACAGCTTGGTTATTCTTATTATCAGACTTTCAAGTATATTTTATTTTTCATTCAATGTGAATTTAGCATTGCTTAACCAAATAACCCTAATAATGGCTCACTAAAGTTTGTTTATAGCTATAATTCTGAACACTTTTACAAGTCCTCATTTCTCATTGCCTCCTATTTTTAAAAGGAATATGTTGAGTGGCAGATTTTATCAGGTACCAAGATATCAAACTCTGTGTTACAAATAGATGACAGTTTTGTTCTAAATAGCATGCTTGCTATTAACTATAGAGTACATTTTCTATAGAGTTATAGCATACACAGTAAATTAAGTATTTTCACATATAACTTGACACATTGAAAATGAACATGCTATAGACATCAGAATTTTCCAAATTTTAAAATCCCCAAACAGTTGTAAGACACAAAATGCTTGTTTTTCCATGGAATCCCTGCGCTCAAGGACTAGATTCAGTATTTTGCTCACTGGTTTGCTGTGGATCTGAGTGAACCTTTCTTTATGTGACATATTGTAATCTTTATCACCTGCACTCTAGCTCTGCCCTTTCCACTATAAGCCTCTGAATGTGCGGTGGAGAAAAGCACCAGGTGCTGATAAATTATATGACTGTTCCTATGCATGAGATTTTGGGTTACCTGTTGCCTGTTTGTTCTGTGACCTGCGAGTGAAGATTAATGTCGCATATTAAGAATTTATACAGATTAATTAGTGGTCAAACAGGGGACCTGAAAATATTAAATGCAGTTCTGACAAAAATGTTGATAGGCAAGTAAGCAACATCATAATACCTTGCACAGGAATTATGATGTCTGTATAATGTATTTCAAATTATGTATTTATCTCCTCACTAATGTCAGCTGAATAATATAGAATAATAGTCTAATTCATGGTAACATAATATCTTCTTATTATATAATTATCTGTTCTTTCACTACATACCTTCAGGGAAATTCACCCTTACATTAGAAAAATGCCTAAAGCCTACTGAGAGAAGGACTCCATCACCTTCATTTTACAGTATAGGTTCCTTTGCTCTTAAAAAGTGAAGTTGATAAACAGAAGGCCTCAGTCCTCTTTGTGCACTTGTGTACTTAAGCCTATTATTAAATTTCTCTTTGTCCCTTCCCCATGCAATGTGTATTTTCATCTGTCTCTCTGCTCACCACAAACACTTTAAGGTGACAAGCCCTAAATGGAACCTCCTCTTTCCAGTGGAGGGGCTATCATCTGGCAGGTTGGAACAAGGTGGTGAGAAATGGCAAAGACGAGTCTTTTAAAAAGCACAAGAGTTTCTTCCAGAACCTGGGATCTAAAAATGTAGTTTATCTACAGACAAACCATTAATCTTAAATTTTAATGTGGTAGTGATTTGTCACAAAGAGAAGGGAATATCATTTGGAATTCATGGTCAATGAAAGGCAAGCTAGTGGCTGTTGAAATATTATTTTAAATGGCAAGACCGAATTTTTGCATTTTTTACAATACATATATTCAATGCATTGTTATTAAGGTGTCTACAACAGGATACTATAGAATGGTCAGTTTACAATGCATAGAAATCTTTTGTATCACATTTCTGAAGGCTGGGAAGTCTCAGACCTAGAGGGCACTATCTGGGGAGGATCTTCTATAGCTCTGTGATCTTTTTTTTTTTCTCATTGAGTTTATTGGTACTTTCTAGGTGTACAGTACAGTTACATTCATTATTAGGGTCTTGTACCTTTACATGACAGGTCTTGGTTCTCATTTTTCCCCTTGTCCCTGCCATCCCTCACCCCCTCCTTCCCTTCCCCTTTAAAAACACTTCATTTCCATTTTCTCATATTTTTTTCTTTTCCCTTATTCCCTTTCCCCTACCCTTCCCACTTTCTCTACACCTTTAGCCCTTTTCTTCCTATTTCACATTGTCAATTATCTCATTAGGATCTTATGTACTATTATAGTTTTTCGCACCAGAGAAACTATTTGGTATTTACACATGTGTGACTTATTTATTTCACGTAAGAGTACATTCTCAATATGTATCCATTTTCCTATGAATGAATCTAATTTCTCATTCTTTATGGCTGAGTAGTATTCCATTTTATAGAAAAACCATATCTTCTTTATCCAGTTTCCAACGGATGGGCAAATGGGCTGTTTCCAAGTTTTAGCTATTACAAACTGTGCTGCTATAAACATTGGTGCACATATATCACTGTGATATGATTCTTTTAATTCTTTTGGAAAGATACCCAGCAAAGGGGTGGCTGGATCAAATGGCACCTCTAGTCCCAGCTCTTTGAGGTATCTTATATTGATTTCTACAGTGGTTGCATCAGTCTGCACTCCCACCAACAATGGAGAAGGGTTCCTTTCTCCCCACAACCCCGCCAACATTTGTTATTGGTTGATTTCTTCATAGCAGCCATTCTTTGTGGGGTGAGGCGGAATCTCAGTGTTGTTTTCATCTGCATCTCTCAAATGACCAGTGATGTGGAACATTTTTTCATATATTTACTTGCTGCTTTTACTTCTTTGTCTGAGAAATGCCTGTTCATTTCTGATGCCCATTTTTTAATCGGGTCTTTATATTTGGGGGGAATGGTTGTTTTGAGTTCTTTATGTATTCTAGATACAAGCCCTTTGAGGAGCAGCTGGTAAAAACTTTTTCCCACATTGTAGGTTGTCTTGTAAGGGGTCCAGAGGAGGAGGGAGGGAGGAAGGAGGCAGGGAGAGCTTGCAAAGGAAACATGGGGAATGAACTCAACCTTTTGTAAGGAGCCCACTCGCACAACTGTGTCATCACCCCACTGATGCGGGCTCAGTGCTCATGGCCTAATCACTTCACTGGGCTCTGCTTCCCACAGTTGCATTGAGGATAAATGGCAGGGCATTCAAATAACCACATATGGTTTTCTCTCTGATTGACAGTCCTGACATAAGCCTGACATAAGTCTTTGTTCATGATTAGCGTCTTTTTAACCCTCCTGTATGCCCAGATGAAGCATCAAGCTACATGGTTTCACCAGTTTCTGTACCTTCTGTGTTCCTCTCTCCAGCTTGTTCTAATGCACTTGCCTCTTCTCTGCTGCTATCAAGCTTGGTATTGCTCATCAGTGGTGTTTGTTTGTTGCTTTTCCAGTACCGGGGATTGAACTCAGGACCTTGCATTTGGCTGGCAGGGGTAGCACCACTGAGCTATATCCACAGCCACTCATCATTGCTTTGTTTTTGTTAATTTATTTCTGTGCTTTATTGGTATTTTTAGTATTTATTTCTGTCTCACTCCTCTTCACTTAAAAGTACCTTAAGGAAATTAAATGAGCCCATGATCAACAGCCAGGATGCTTAGGCCTGTACCAATGGGTCTTTGGAGTATCATCTAGTTTTCTCTCTTTTTTAAAAATCGTTTCTTCCTCTCTTCCTCTCAGCTCTTCTTCATCTATTCCGAAACCACCATTTGACTGGTCTTCAAATTCTATCTTAACATTTTTGTGGCAGTTATTTTGTCCTGGGTCCTAGGCAGGGTGTGACTGTCATGTCACTTCGGTACTGAGGCACTCTTTGTCTCTTCTTAGTTTACTGATTTCAGTTCCACATGGGACCGTTGGAAGTAAAACTGAAACTCTGTAAAACTGTATTCTTCCCAGGCTTCTTACCACTTTTATTCAGTCTTAGTACACTGTACAACTCTGGTAAGTCTTTCTTGTCCTAAAGTCCTGACTGAGCTTTATCAAGAAGACTTAGAGATGAATTGCTGCATTTCCCAAGGTTTGCATCATAACATTTTTAAAATGGGAAATTAAAGTTATTAAAGGGTTTTCAGTAGTTATTTAAAATCATGCTATGCTCATTTCTGATTCTACTAATATTCTTTTTCAGTAGTCAAGCCTACACTTGTTCTACGTTGTGGTTAATAATAATCTTGAGTTGTGGTTTCATATACCTAAGTTCAATAAAAATGAATTTTAATTTCATTACACAAATTCTAAATATATTCTAATTAGTTAAAACATTTTAATTTGAAAAGAGCTGACTGTATGTTGGAGAAATTTTATGGCACACATTCAACATATGATATTCTGCTTCTAATATCATTGTATTATGATGAACCAAGAACTACCATGAAAAACATTCCAAATAGGTCTCTTGTAACAGAGTGCTTTCACAAAGTTGCTGCCATGTGCTGAGGTTATTACTCATGTTATATCTTGTCAGAATTCCATAATTCAAGATTACAATCCTATAAAGTAATTAGTTATGCAACATCCATTTGTCACTGCCATTTTTCAGCAGTCATGACATGGACTGTTGCATACCTGAATCTATTTAAATATCAGCCATTCCACAGCATTTTTTGATATATAATTCATTGCCTTAAGAAGAAAATAAGCAAACAAACAGAAAAATGGGGCTTTATAAAGAATCTTATGGTTGCAGTAAAAAGCAGATTGCAACCTGTATGGAGTCCAGATTCATGCAACAAAAATGAGGTATTTAAGTAGATTTTTTGTCAACTAACAAACGCCATTTCATCCTGAGAATCTCACGGCCTCATTGTATGCCATCTGTCTCACGGGGAGTAATTAATATGCAACTCCAATATGCAGCATTAAAATTCCATTAACACTGGAGCAGAATGTTAACATGTCTGGCATTGCCATTTTTATCTCCCAAAATTCCAGTGTTAAATTTGAATAATGCAGGTATAACATTTTCATCTATCCCATTAATTGAGAATATTGAATAAAATATATAATTAGCAGCACAAATTGCATAACACCACACCAACTTGGGTTGAATAATGCTGTATGTTTTAGCAACTTAGATATACACAGGCTACAGTTTTATATTCTTCTAGTGATTATGTGGAAAGGCTGCAAATATTTGACAAATCTAATTTTCCCAAGGCTCTCACTTTCTCATTTCTTTTCTCTTTTATAGAACCACATCACGGCCTTCGCGGAAGTCACATGATATTGAAGCAGACGGTTTCTCCCCGCATTGGACATCATCTCTTTTTACCATCCACTCATAACACCCCAAATATGTTTGATTTTTTAAAAAAGTTTATAACTTTGTCTAATAATTTTTATAATTTTAAAATTAATGTCAGTGTGTCTGTGTCCCCCACTAGACTGTGAGCTCCTCGAGGGCAGGACTGTGTCTTCCTTTTCTGTATCCCTGGCACCTACAAGAAAACCTAGCACAAAGTAGGTGTTCAATAAAATGAGATGATCAGATGAACAAATTAATTCTTAAATCAAGTGTTCACTTTAGTTTCTCAAAAATCTCTGAGACTGTAACAAGTAACCTTGACACGAGTCACATTTGTATTAGAAAAGCCACTATTTGGGGCTAAATTTTTAATTTTTCTTGTTATCTTTTCAGTAGCATATCATATTTAATTTGAAGTGGACTTTGAAAGTCATGGGGGTTTTTATTTTATTACTCAGCATGACATTATCCCCATTCTAACAGAATTCAGTGTGTGAAATTACTTTTAAATTCCTATGTCCTATACTACTAAAATAACGTTTGCACATTATGCTATATGTCACTTAAAATACCATTCCTACTATATATCCTAAGACTGGTGCTTCTGCTTTTGAAGGGGAAAATGCCAATTTTTACTGTAATAAGTAATGTACCATAATTAAAAATTATTTATTTGGAGTTTTTCTCCTTACAGTTGTGGTTTAATTGTTGATTTGTAGTTTCTGAATGCTGGCAGTGTTTAGGATTGGTTGAATGAGTAAATCCAGCCAATGATGGAATAATTTTCCATGGACTACAGTGTCTCACATGCAGTCGAAGGGCCCCTTTCTTAAACATTTTTTACAGGGCCAGATTTTACGTTATTCAAATGGAAAAGAACCACCCCTGACACAATTTAAATTAGATAACTGCTAGAAATAGAATTAATGTATTTGACTTTGCCTTTGTATATTACTTTATAGTCTGAAATACATTTGCTTTATGATTTCATTGAATCCTTACAGTCACCCCATATAAATATTACGAGTATGGTTTATTTCATAGAGGAGAAAAATGAAGCCAAGATAGGGTGAAACAACACGCCTGATCCTACACGACTAGCAAAAGGCAGTGTTAAAAACAAATTTAGATAGGACCCCAAACATTTCCCACATGCCACAGCTGTCGTGTGATCATTGGGTATCAAGGCCTTTGAGAGGCCGTTAAGTCCCAGGCAACTACCTGTGCTTCCACAAATGCAGAAATACCAAAATAGGGATCCAAAACTGCTGTATTTTAAATGTTTACTTTTTAAGAATGCACACTTTTGAAATATATAATGACATAGTAACCTATTTGTAATCTGATTTGTAAATAATTGATGTAGAAAGCCTGGAGCGGAGGCCCTTTATAAAAATGAAGCCTGAACCAAGTGTCTTTCCTTCCTCCCTCACCTACAGACCTCAGACTCCATTCAGAAGATCTGAGGGTGGTGTTTTACAATGAGCATGTGGAATTAAGGGTAGAAATCAGCATAGAAAGGAAGAGGATGAGCTCCTCAGTGGTCTCCTTGCCAACTTTAAAGCTAACCTGAGTAACTTTGGCTTATAGGAGCAGCAGTCAATTCAAACAAATCTTTCTAGTCTTGAAAGAAAGTGAATTTTTAATTCACTATGTAATTTCAATAGAAATCAGATAGCACCAAAATTTTTCCATTGCTTCCAAAATGGATGCCACTTGTCCATTTCCAATGCTAGAGCTTAAAATATTTACTAGGGCCAAATAAAGTACACCTATATTTCTACCAATCACAAATCTCTGTAGCATTTCAATTCTGTTGGAAATTTAGAACATGAAAAAGTTTTGAATACTCTGACCATCTTCAGAGACTAATGTTTTAAGAGTAGCAGTGATGGGGGATTCAGTTACTGATATCAGAAGTGAGGGGTGATCATAATGCTTTAGGAGGCTGGATTACCCATAAGGCTCCTAAAGTGATCAGTTCTGTTGGTTCCACATCAGCTTCCTAAGGATTCAATTGGAAATATTTTCCTGTTGGAAGCCTTAGCTATAAATTGCTATGTCAGTGTTATATCTTTGTACTCCACTAAACCTGGTCTGAATACAGGAGTTGTAAATTCTTCAAAAAGCCCAGATTTAACCTAGAATCAGAGTAAGGTCACTTTTAATATTTGAACATTATAGATCCAAGATTGCTCAGTGAATGACTCTATTATGAAGAAAACCAGGAAAAAAAGAAAGATACATGTGAGTAAGGCAAAAACCAGGCAAAACATAAGACCTTTAACCATGATTCTATTACTAAGAATAATGAAAAGTACATTTGACAAAATGTATATATGTATACACACACACACACACACACACACACATGTATGACGGGCAAACATATCTTTCTAATAAAGACATATTCTTTTCATTCTACTTACTTGGGGCCCAGGTCAGTATAAATTGGTCAACCTGAAAATTTCAGTAGTCTCCGTCTGCACGGCAGAAATTCTGCACATGTTTTATCTGATTCCTAAGATAACTTAAAAGGCTCTTTTATGTTAAAAGAGAGGTGAACCTTCTTTGACAGACTTTGTCCATTCTACTTCTAACTGGGCCTCTCTTTTCTCAGGATATAGCTAGCCAATTATCTTACATTTATCATAGAGTTTCCTTTGTGAAAGAGCAGTAGAGAGGGAAATAATTCTCTGCTGTGTATTGTATTTTTCAAATAAAATTTTAAAAACTAAATTGAAAATGATTTTTTTCTTTGTGTTGGTCTGTATTGGGGATGGAGGAATAAAGGATGCTTGTGGGTTTTTTTACATAGGTGTAGTTTACAGACAAATTCATCAGACATCTGTCTACAGAGCCTCCACATCTGCCCCACCACCAATCCTTCTGCTCTCCCCAGAAATAATCATTAGCATCCTTTAAAAAATCTATAATTTTTAAAATACATGGTGTCTTATATATGTGTCTTTAATAACCCATATTTTTGGAAAGCATGTGACTTGAAAGCCTTTCTGACTCCGCATTATTCCATGTGTTCTGTGTGGGCGTGCTGTGCTTGGTTTAGCCAGCCCCAGTTTTGGATGACTTCTGACTTGGGAGCCTGCAGCAGCACTCCACGCACACACTCTTTATTGGTGGGGAATGTCTCACAATTCTGGATGGATTCTATCAAATTCACCCCATTTCCACCCAAACTAGATCAGGCTGGCATTCACACTTAATGTGCATGACAATCAATGTTTTTCCTTTTGCTAAAGATACTGTTACTGATTTATTCAATTTTTCTTCATCTAATGGCATGGAATTGTATCATTGCTGTTTTAATTTTTATTTTCTTGGTTGGAAAATGTCTTTTTATATATTTATTTTTGAAACATACTGTATATTGTGGCTGCGTGTAGTGATGCACACCTGTAATCCCAGCACTTGGGAGTCTGAGGCAGGAGGACTGCCCAGAGTTCAATTTCTACATTTATAATAATGAAATTCCAATTTATTCTCAGGTGTATAAATTTGAATCCTCTATTCTTTTTCTTTGATTTAACTGTCCCTGTGTTAATGCTGCACTCAAATCAGATTTTCTATGTTTTCTTAAATGATAGCAACAGCTCTTCTCTTCCTTTTGAACAAAATATTGTTTGTTTTCTAGATAAACTTTTGAATCAGCTTGTCAAGTTCCATTAAAAATACTACTGGCCTTTGAGTGAAATGAAATACCCAGATTAAACTGTGGAAAACTATCATTTCTACAGTGATAAGGTCCTCAACAGGGATTTAGGATGTTTTTCCTAGATCAGTAATTTTGTAATGTCTTTTCAGTAGTTTTACAGTCTTGTTCATAGATGCCTAGAAGAATGTTAAATTTATATCTAAGTAACTTGCAAATTTTTGTTACATTGTGAATTGTATCTTGTATTTTTGCTGGTTTTAAGTGTTAGGCTTTGTAAAGCTATTGAATTTATTTTTATTTTTATTCTTGACTCCTCTGGTTGTTATTGTGACTGTTATGCTGGCAATCAAACCCAGGCTCTCACACATTCTTCTCACAAACTGTACCTACTGAGCTATATTCTCAGTACATGAAGTTCACATTCACCATGGAGAGTAGGTGCATGTACATAAAATGTATAATGTGTTTCTTTTGGAAATCTTATTCCCCTTTGCACCTCCCTCCCTCCCCTGACTCTAAATCTCCTCCCCCAATTTTCTTTCTTATTGATATTATTAATCTTAACTTATGTTTACTACAAATAATGCTTGCATTCATCTCGGTTATTAGGTTCCTGCATATGGCACATCTTAATTCTTTCTTACCCTTTCACTCTCCTATCACCCTCTGTCTCCTGTTTGCAAGAGGCCTAGGCCCTCATTTCTTTCTCTCCATCCTTTACTATGTGTTCTCTTTGTACTTTGCCCTCTTCAAATGAGATACTGTATGATATTTAAGCTTTGTGTATGACTTCACATTATATACTTCTAGATGAATCCATTTTTCTATAAATGTCTCAAATGTATCCTCTTTTATACCTGAATATTATTCTATTATAAATAGATACCATATTTTCTTTATGCATTCATCTACTTATGGACATACAGGCAGCTTCTAGGATTTAGCCATTATACATTGCTCTGCTATAAATAGCGATAAACACGTATCACTGTAGTGTAACATCTTTAGCTCTTTGGGGAAGATATCTAGAAGGGGAATATCTGTGTCATATGGAATATCTAAGCTTAGTTCTTTGGGCTCCACACTGATTTTTATACTGGTATACCAGTATAGCCAGGCTAGCATTTGTTAGTCTTTGACTTCTTGATGATTGCCAATGATGATTTTTGTAAGATGGAATCTTATCATTGTTTTCATATGCCTTTCTTTGATGGTCAGAAATGTTGACATTCTTTCATGTTTGTTGGCCATTTGTACTTCTGAGAAGTGTCTATTCATTTGACTTACCCATTTCTTAATTGGGCTTGTTATTTGGACTGGTCTAATTTTTTGCATGCTTTATATATAATGCTGATATTAATCCTTTGAGTAGAGCTGCCAAATTTTTTTTTCCTATTCTGCAGGCTGTCTGTTCACTCTACTAATTGATCCCTTTGCTATGAAGAAGCTTTTGAATTTGATATAATTTTAATTCCTGCTGTTATTTCTTATGAAATTGAGGTTCTGTTTAGAAAGTACTTTCCTATACCTATGACTTCCAAGTGGTTTATCTGTTTTGGCTTCCAGTAGATTCAATATTTCTGTTTTAATGTTAGATCTTTGATGCATTTTGATTTTAATTTAGTACATAGTGAAAGAGGTGAGAGATATGGGTCCAGCTTCACTGATATGCAGACAGATCTCCAGTTCTCTTAGCATCATGTATAGAATAGGCTATCTTTCCTCCAAAACAGTGGGACACTTTCAGAATTAATCAAATTTCCTTAGCAGTATTGCTCCCTGTCAACAATAACTGCCAGCCTTCATTCATTCTTCCACCATATTTACTGAGTGATTTGCAATGCCCTGACTAAATAGTTAGAAAGGCAGACGTGTCTTCTTCTCTTCCCAGTTGTATAGTTCACCAGTTCTGATGATGGAGCTCCACAAGTTTTATTTAAAGAAGGTTGAAGAACTGCCTGGAGATTTCCTGCTACTTAGGAAAAGTAAAATATATTTTACTTAGCCCAAGCAAAAGATATTTTAATAATCTACAGCAATAGCTAATATTTTGAAAGGAAAAATAAGCAATACCTCCACAAACAACATTGTGCCATTCAACTATTGCTAAACCAAAAAGGCTTAATGTGATATTATGATAATAAGTATTTACTACCCTTCCCAGGTCTGTGGCTTAATCAATCATTGTTCTGGTATAAACTGAGCATATTCATGCATCCAACATCTGACTGTTAGCTTGGGCTGATCTTGCCTGGCCTCTGTCACATACGTTGGAATCATCTGGCCATCTATGCTGGTCTGGGATGGCTTTGCTCTGGACAGCTGAATTCTTTCTTCTCTATAGAGTCCCTGAAATGTTCAAGCATGATTTCTCAACTTGTACAGTACTGATTTAATCTGTTGAGCATGAAAAATACACAAATAACAATAAAAATCATGTTTCTTTCATATAAACCGGAATGGCCACTCCACAAGTCACCAAGTACATCTATCACCAGAACACCGTGGTGACAGATTGACTAGAGAACTAATCCAGCATTTAACTAAGAGCATCAAGAAACTTGCTGTAGCTTTTATTTAAAGGTGAACTTTCTAATTATTTTACTATAGGCCACAAAAGGAGGAAAACATAACTTTACATAAAAAGTAAAGAATGAACAGAAACATCAAAATATAATAGAAAAGTAACAAATATAAGACTACATTATGATAAACATGAATACAGCATGTACATTTAGTACATGATTGTGAAGTATGTGTGCACACATATACACATTTGATTTGTGCAACTCTGATTTTTAGAAATTTGAGCTGCCATAATTTAAATAATATCACTCCCATGAAAATAGGGTCCCAAATTCATTCCTGGAATCAAGCATTACCCTGGTTCCAAAACCAAAGAAGGATCTAAAAAAAGAGAATTACAGAAAAATAAATGCAAAAATCCTAAACAAGATACTGGGAAACAGAATGAAGCAAATCATCAAGAAAGTTACACACCATGACCTAGTTGGTTTCATCCCAGGGATGCAGGGATGGTTCAACATATGCAAATTAATAAGTGTAATATACTATATTAACAGAGCCAAGGACAGAAACCATATTATCCCCTCAGCGGCAGAAAAAACATTTGACAAGATCCAACAGCCACCCATTTATGATAAAACCCTTACAGAAAATTGGTATAGATAGTTTTTATCTCAACAGCCATCTATGACAAGGCAATAGCCAACATCTTAATCTTACTAAATGGATGAAAACTGAAAATTTTCATTCTAAAAATCAGGAACAAGGAAAGAATGTTCCCTGTTACCACTCTTGTTCAATATAGTTCTCGAAATACTAGCCAGAGAAATTAGACAATAAAAATAAATAAAAAAGTAAAAGGGTAGGAAAGGAAGAAGTTAAATTATCATTATTTGCTGATGACATGATATTCTACATAGAAGATCCCCAAAACTCTACCAAAAGTCTTTTAGATTTGATAACCAAATTCAGTGGCCTAGCTGGATATGAAGTCAACACTTAAAACTCAATAGCTGAGGGCCAAGGATTTAGCTCAATGGCACCACACCCGCCTCATAAGCACAAGGTCCTGAGTTCATTCCTGGTACCGAAAGAAAAAAAAAAGATCAATCTTCCTGTATATGAACAAGAAACTCACTGAAAGCAAAATTAGAGAAAGAATAGCTCTCACAATAGCATGCAAGAAAATGAAATACCTAAGAATCAATCTAACCAAGGAAGTAAAAGACCTCTATGTTGAAAACTGCAGTATTCTTGGGCTGGGGATATAATTCAGGAGTGCTGTAGCCTGCCTTGCCTCAAAAGCACAAGGTCCTGTGTTTGTCCCCTGGTACCAACAAACAAACAAACAAACAAATAAATAAATAAATAAATAAAATAAACGAAAAACTACAGTACTCTCATAAGGGAGGTTGAAGAAAATTATTAGACAATGGAAAAATATCCCTGTTCTTGGATAGGAAG